CATAGTCAGAAACAAATTGTAAGATTCACTGTAATGCCTAGTGGAAATCCAGCATAAGAATAACCAAAAAAATATTTGAATAGAAATTATTTTTTTTCCACATCAAAGTGCGCTAGTAATACGCCAACAAATCAATTGTTAAAAAAATAAGTTTAAGCCGAATTTCGTAGTACCGTTTTTAGGCCCTACACACGCATTGATTTATCGGCCAAGTAGTAAGATTTTTTGAACTGTGAACAACACAACAGCACCGGTAAACTTTTAAGTTATGCTAGGAATGCTTCTCATTCTTATGTACGTATTCGTTATTGCTACCGCCTCCTTACACACGGCTTATTCACCGCCAACTTCTAGCGGTTGGCCAAATGTCAAGAAAGTATATTCTCAATGAAATGGCACTTTGCTCTGTTGTAATATTTGAACGTTAGTTTTTGAAATACATATTAAATATTGTTTAATATGGTTATTACTTTTATAAGTTCCGGTCCAAATTTTAATATGAATATTTTAAGTAAAAAAGGCCACGAAGTTAGACCGAAAATTCCGAGCCTATGGCTTAAAATTAATTGCAAAATCTAGCCTCAAAAAGATTCACCTGGTCACACTGCTGATAAGTCCTTTTTGCATATTTGCAGAAAGCACTTTCGGAAATAAAAATTGCAAGGTGTAAAGAGCGTGTCAGACGTGGCAATATTTTCAAAGTAATTCGCTGTCTAATGTTTTCGGAAATAAAAGTTGCAAGATGTGACTGCAATTGAGAGAGCACAATGCATGATATTATCATAAAACATATATTCTGAATTTGTAGTTTTTAAAATAATCAGGCCGATTCTAAACAGAAACTGCCTGGCAGTTTTTTCTTTTCTCTTTCCTACAATCACGAATAAAAATTCCCTGACGATTTTTATATTAAAGAGCCGAGTTGAGGTGTCAAACAGATTTTTCGAAATTCACCAAATTTACGGGAAATCGATACTCCCTGGGAATTAATTATTTGAGGGAGAAAAAAATTCCCGGAGAACGAACTTCCCGGGAGTATTAAGAATTGAACTAAATATCTTCTTAGTTTATTACAAACAAAGTTATGTAAATATTAATATTTGTCTTTAAAACTAAAATAGCTTAAAGCTAAAAAATATATCGTCGGTTAAAGTACAAAACCGCGTATCGTCATTCTGCAAAACCGCGTAACCGCCATTTGCTGCCAAAAATTTGATTTGCTCACACAAGCTCTTGGCTTAATCCTTATCAATTCGTCCTGAAATACACTAGCCAGGAATGCGATTGCTTAAAAAAAAAACATTTTGAAATATGAGTGTTTTCACTCTCTAGAAAAAATTTACTTAATTCACATACGCGGTTTTGCATTATCTTGATACGCGGTTTTGTACTTTAAACGATGATATACTATTACTACTACAAAGTTATGGTTTATAAATATTACTGTCAGCCTCCTATAATTAGAATTATTCCATTTACTGAAAAGACGTACAATAAGTATAGGCTCTGAATGATCACATTTTATTATCAGTGTAAAAAATTTATAGTTTTTTTTAATACAAAACTATGTATACATACAAATGCATACAAAATAAATGCACTTGCTAATTTTTATTGTATATAAATAATAAAACCTTCTACTCGTCGCTCGGGAAGCCAGGATTAAAAAATAATTTTTTATTGAAACCTTGTTGTTGTGAAGTACCCGTTTGCAAACTTCTCCTTTCCGTACGGTATGAACCTACTTGGGTTTGCACTATTTTAATTATATCCTCGAAGTGGGTATCATGAGCGTGAAGGGCTATGTTCTTGCAAAGCTCTTGAATATACCAAGAACCTGTTTCTGGGTCTCTATGTGATTTGAAACCTGGATTCGTAGCGAAACAAATAAGTAAATCGGAAGTCGTTGCGACGAGATTGTCTTTACTACTCATAGAATCAGTCTCAAGTTTTCGTTGCACCCCGCTATCAGATTTAAAGCCACGACAGAAGGGAAATATAAGAACCTTTGGTTTCTCCACCAAATTGGGACATCTTTCGTTCGAAAAACGGTCCCGTATTTCCTCCACTTTTGCTATTGAGCCATCACTGAATTCTACACATTCTTTGTCTTTGCTGTCCAGCTCTCCATGACTCATCAGTGCTAATATAAAACATTCTGTTTTACGTGTATAGTCAGACTTTAATAACTTTTCCAGCAGGTCAAAAAACTCTTTTTGAGAACTATCTGTAGTTACGAATATTTTAAAACCTAATTGCTTGAATACGTAGATAAGTGCATAACTATCATTTATAGCTCCGTTTCGGTAACCAGTCTGAGTATTTATAAAATTTGCAATAAATAGAACTCCGCGATTATCTTTCGATTTCATTTCATATGCTCCAATGAGATCATGTGTATGAATGCGATCGGTTTTCTTTACTTCATATTTTTCTTTGGGATATACTGGACCAGCATACTCCTCTAGTATAGGTATTGCATCTTCATCGACCTTAAAATATAATGCAATGTAAATTAAATACTTTTTTGCTAGAATAAATACCATACCTTTGTTCGAAGACTATCAGGAATGTCGGGCGTTTGGATTGAAACTGATTCAGGCAGTGTTTCAATTGGATTGTCGGGCGAGCTAGAGCTCTTTTGAGATAAATACTGACGAGTTTCTTTTATGCAGTTAAATTCCTTTTCCCTTTCTAAAACTTGAATCGCTTCGACGTTGTCTAAATGCTTTAGTACTTTGACAAGTTTTTGAAACGCTTCAGGACCTCTGTGGGTAATTTTTTCAAAAAGCTTTTGATGTTGTATTTCTTCCAAAGTAGGAGTCGATCCAAATTCATGTAAGTTCTTTGAATCAAGGTAAAGATTTTCGACCATTTGTTGCGAAAGTAAACGCTCTTCCTGACAGGCTTTAAGTAGTCTTTTAAAATCAGTGTGCTGGACAAGTTTGCCGATGTTTTCTCTTATTACTTTTCGATGTTTATCATTCATTTTCTCGCTTTGGAAGTGGACGGCAATGAAATTAAATTAGTCAGTTGCAAATACGGCAGCAACGTTGGCAATGGCACTGACCGTGATTGTTTTATTCCAATGGCCTGGGAAAGTTCGAATATCTGTGCAGGAAATAAGTTGTCCCAATTTCGCCAACACCAAGTTCGTATTGTAACTTAAACGTTTTAATATTTAAAGCAATTTGAAACAATTATTTGCATAAAATTTTGCTACTTTATACTTTGATTAATAAGGATAGCACAATTTGCAAAGCAGTAAAACAAATTCTCTTCTAAACAAAAGAATAAATAAATTGTGAAATTACCAACAAATACGTAGTATAAAACGAACAAAGCGGAGGGATGATTCATATAAGTAGCTTCGCAGAGTTGCATTTTTTGTACTGTATAGAAAATTAGTTTCCAATTGGACGGAACTACGTATTCAGTTAATGATCTGCTGTTTGCTGCACGGTTTGGTAGCACTGAAAAATGAATGTATACACAAACAGATATTCTACTATTTTTTTTTCTTTTAACTTGATGCAAATAAATCGCGTTTATGTTAAATATTAATTTAACATAATAGTGTTTCGTTTAAATGTACTTTTTCGCATTTAGTTAATTTTTATAATTTCGCCTTCCTCGTGCTACTAGTATAAAATTGGTGCTGCCATCCCCATTAAGAATGATCCAGATCGTTTGCGTGAGAAATGATAGTTATACTGAGCTGGATAACCGAAGAAACACAACTACTATTTCTTATTAGAAATCCTGTTGGAGACTGAAATTTATCTAGGAAACCCTGGAAGAAACGTCAAATAAAAGAAAACAAAAATCGGCCAATTCTTCGTAGTAACGCGTGTAGAATTTTACCAAGTGATTGAAGATAATTGATTTCCCTAATAGAGACCAATTTATAAAGATTTAATTGTTTGTAAGTTCAAATGCCAAAAATAAAAATATATTCGGTTTTATTCACATCACGGACTCAGTCTGTCAATGCATGCGGTTGGCTTACCCTGCTTAACCTCGCCGCAGAGGTAGTGAAGTTTTAGTGCAAACTTGTAGATGGTTTTTAGGCAAAAAATGTGCTAATTGACAAGAATAAACTTTATTATTCATGCCTTTTGTTAAAATGCAATTTAGTGCATTTATTGAAATAAAAATTTCTTTTCCAGACTATGAGGTGCGTTCAGTGCCAAGACATCAACATTTGTGTTGGTTTTCAACGCATTAATGCATGCATCCCTGCAATCAGTGTAACCAGATAACATAAAAAGCTAAATTTGTTTATAAAAAAGGTTGGAAAAAGTTATACGATATGAAAATTGGAGTTAAAAAGAAGTCGGCAAATTAATTTCTTAAAAATTCTATAGGTGCTGCAAAACCAACTTTCTATAAGTAACTTTTTAGAACATTCTCATCAAAACAAAGGAGCAAGCTAAGAAAATATTTTATAAAAAAATGAACTTTTCAGTTATTGTAATATTTTTAGGCAAATAGTACATAGTTTTAGAAATTCTAAAGGTTTTTAGTGAGCTTAGGTACTTATTTTTATAGTTCGGGTCTGATTTTTATTATTAACATTTTAAGTAAAAAGCCAGAAAAAATATCCACACTTCTGAGGCTATCAGGCTAACCTAATATTCGCGGTTTGCGTTTTGGTACTTATGCCGTCGAATTCGTTTTTTTTGCGGCATCCAAAATTGGCTTGCGTGAGTTTAGATTTGATTTCATTGAGCGAAATGTCAAATTAAAATGTCAGGCAGAACAAAAATTGGAAATTGAACTAGTTTCATACACACGCCGTTCAACTTCGGCTGGTCCCATATAAGCTGTATGTGCATGAGAAATTTTTAACAGTAAATTGGCGGCCCGCGTGAATATTAGGTTAGCCTGTGTGGCATACAATTAAATGCACAATCTAGCCTCAAAAAGGTAGCCTGGTCACACTGCCTGCAATGGGTATGTTAAGTTGAATGTGTCAGGAGCATGTTGCTTTTCCGTTTTGACGGCGAAAACCAGCTGCTTCAATTTCGTTAACACAGGAATTGTGGGCTGAAAATAAATAAAATAAGGCTGGATTCTTCTTGTTATGTTTAAAGAAACTATATTAAAACTTACGTGTACCTGCTTCGAAAACGGCTTGATGCTTACACTTAGACTGAATAACTGAAAAGATGTCTTTTCAGACGGTTTTAGCCTTTATATTTACAGTTCTAGCCTCAGTTTCCATTGTAGCTGTGATAATTTTGCTAGGTAAGATAATGGGACTTTGCTACCTTAAGGAAGCTATAAGTAAATAATTATTAATTAAATTGCGTTGAGTATGTTATCTTATTTGGTCTACGTGAGTTACTTTGATGTTCTAAGGCTTTATTGGAGAATGCAAACTTTGACCCCTACTTGATGACGACGTGCTTTTCAGCCATGCATAATCGCTTGCCTTAAGACAAATATATGTTATTGATATATGAAATAAACACTTGTTAGGACGAATTTACTCAGCCCATGATTACCTAAAATTTCTACTGGTATCTAGATATGTATACAAAAATGCCACTGATATTTATTTATTGCATTGCCCACATTAACGTTTCCAGCCCAGTTTTTAATTTATTGTTTTGTTTGCTTAATATTTTCAGGCTGGTTCCTCATCTGGAAGGCGTTTTTATCGAAATTCCGCCTTGTACGAGAATTACTCGGCCAAGGCAACGGTGACGAATTCCAGCCTCTAGAGCAACAACCACATATAAGAGCGAAAAAAGTTCGTCGTGAATAGATAATACTCGCAAGCAATAATACTTTTAAGCAATTAAAATCATTAGTTAGAAAATAGGAAAAATAGTTAATAGTTACTACTAATCAACTGACTATAGTAAAAATTAAAAACTAAACAGCGGATCTTGTAATATTGTATCGCCGACATGAATATCCGTTGTGCGAAGCCCGATGACTTAATGAGTATGCAGCATTGCAATTTACTCTGTCTGCCTGAAAATTATCAAATGAAATACTATTTTTATCATGGCCTAACATGGCCACAACTTAGTTATGTTGCCGAAGATGATAAAGGAAATATTGTTGGTTATGTTCTTGCAAAAATGGAGGAGCCAGAACCTGGTGAGGAAAGTAAACATGGTCACATTACCTCATTGGCGGTGAAAAGGTCATATCGTCGTCTGGGATTGGCGCAGAAGCTAATGAATCAAGCATCCCAAGCGATGGTAGAATGCTTCGATGCACAGTATGTTTCTTTGCATGTTCGTAAAAGTAATCGTGCAGCTCTCAATCTCTACACCGATTCTTTAAAATTCAAAATAATCGAAATCGAACCGAAATATTATGCAGATGGTGAAGATGCTTATGCCATGCGGCGTGATCTTAGCGAATTTTCCAAAAAAGAAAATTCCGATGAGAACGCACATGAAAATAAGGCTAGTACTGCAGACGGCGCTGACAGGGATAAGATTAACTACAGGCAAGCAGTGTCGCATGATCACAGCGGCCATGACGGTCATTGCTGTTGAGGTGGAGAAATAGTATGGTGTTCTTATGAAAATTGGGTATAATTTTATAATTTGTATATGTATTTGGAAATTATTTCGTATCTTAATAAATTGTGAATTAATCCTTGATGGATTTTGTGCTACCAAATAAGCTAATATTTATTTTTTATTCCAATGTTTCTATTAGAATCAAAGCGAAGACCATGAAAACTAAAGAAATTGGGAACGTATATCACTGTACATACATATGTAACGAACTTTCACGGAACTTGTTCGAAATAAAAGCCCAGTTATGGCTACGGCGTTATGGTATGGCACCAATAGTCGTTTACAAATGTGCTTATATTTACGTTTAATTAGAACATATACATAATTGCTACGGTTTTGGTTAAGACTATGGTATGGCACCACTAATTGGACCTTAAAAGTCGAAGAGACTCAGCGCAATCTCGCCATTTGTAATAAACTAGATGGCAGGAAAGAAGTCAAGTCGATAGTCGGCAGCAGGAGGGAGTCGAAAAATACGTATATGCTCGGATATACTCCCATGGGCACCGAGAGCCCCGGCCTTGGTCTTGAGATACCTGCACCAATGTCTTAAGGGATTTTGGAGACGTTTCTATACCATTGCAGCGAGCTAGCCTGTAAATGTCCTTCCACAAAAAAGTACTTAAAGTTGCCTCACTGCAAAACCATACCTTGCACTTACTACCGAAGACTATTGGTTTGGGAAACAAAGCTAATGGAATCTGGGAGCCTAGCGTGTCCTTGTTCCTCAATAAAAAGATTTTGCCTCTGCCAAAGCCTTCTCGTGTGAAGTCTAGAAGAATACGCTGTGCTGCCTGTGCTAGGCATTGTCCCGCCAGACGTTGAAGCTTGACAAGAGATGGCCTTACCGTGGATATGGTGGTCCGCGAGACCAAAGCCACCGCCCCATATGTAACTATTATGGTATACATCCATCTCAAGATCCTGGGACTGTAGCCCCAGGTCTTACCTGTCGACGTTTACGGCGACCCCGTTCAAAGTATTGTTCCTCATAATTGGAAGTGTTCTTTTGCTAGAAATTGAGACCATCGCTGTTTTGGAAGGGTTGTAGTTCAAATCCATTAAATAAATAAATACATGAATAAACAACTAAGCTTCACATGAGGGGTGGAAAACACTCTTGTTGTTTGTAGCTGTACCACACTGTCCCCGATGTGGGTCTACGGATATTGCGTTTCTCAAGTGCCCGCTAAACACCAATATGAGAGATATTATCAAAAGCTCCATCAATATCGTTGAAGGCACAAAATTGTTTCATCAGACTCGAAGGAGCCTTGTATTTCTGTAGACAGGGTGCGGTATCCGTGGACCTACCCACTCTGTAGGCGTGTTGGCCTGGGTGCAGAGGCGTTCTGCGTGTTGTTTTTTCTGATTTCATGGTCGATAGTTTTCTCCATTACCTTTAGCATGAAGGAGGTTCGATTTATCGGTCTGAAGGACTTAGCGAGAGAGTAGTCTCGCTTTCCTAATTTTGGGATAAAAATAACCCGAGCCCTTTGCCAAACCTCGGGGAAGTGGGCAAGTGCTAGACTAGCCCGCATAATGTGGAGGAGGTGAGGAAGCTCCTGCTCTGTCTTTATCTATTTAGGGGACGTCAAAGAATAATGCCCAGTTTAAATTTAACAAAGTTTTCCTGTTTCTCAACGTAACTTTTTTACCGTTAAAGCTAGTTTTCAAGGCAAAAGATTTCAAATTTTAATCAATTACGCAGGACCAGAAAAAATCGATGAAAGGTTAATTAAACCAGACCAGGTGTTTTATATATTTTTTGGGGCGCTGAACACGAATCTGCGATTTTTTCTAACCCCTAAACACTTCAAAGTTTCGCTGCGTTTTTTGAGGTTAGAAAAAAATTCTGACGTGATGGATCAAAACACACTTCCAGATTCGTGTTCAGCGACCCCAAAAACATATAATCGAGTCAAAACAACCTTTCATAACTTTTTTTGTAGTCCTGTCTTATTTATAATTTAATGGCCTTATTCATAAAAAATAAAGTAGGTTTAAAGAGCTTTATAAATTGACGTTTTCATACATTTTTCAATTTATAAACCTTTTATAAAGCTACTTTATTTTTTATGAATAAGGCCATAAGTATATAGTTTTTTATTATTCTTTTTTTATATTTTCGAGCTTGAAAACTGAGTTTCCATTTTTTATTATGTTTCAAGGTTTAAAGATTAAGATGAAATCGGTTACATGAGTGTGCTACAACTTTTTTGTTTTTCATATGTCGAAAATCGAAAGTTCCTGAGCTATGCCTATACAGATTTAAATTAGGGATATTCACGATCCGGTGCATACTGTCTAGCATGGTGCATCGATAGCATAAATAGCATGATTGTTGTTGTTTCATGTGTTCAAACAACAACAAAATTTGCCAATCATGCTATTTATGCTATATATGCACCATGCTAGACAGTAAGCACCGGATCTTGAATACGCCTATTGTCTTTATTTGACTTTACCAACTCCGATAGAAATGTTCCGCAATATCCAAAATACATTGCTCTTTTAACAAGTTTTCACTAAAACTTTTACCATAGATTTTACTAGAGAATTTCTCGATTTGCTATTTCCACTGTAATGCCTATGTTTGTTCGTATTATGGTTGTTGTAATTGGTGCAGCTGCCGCGCAGCTTCATAAATATTAGTGCCGCTTATTGATATTTATTGAAGAAATGTGGCAAATAACGTAGTACGCTCAGGAAGTTTTAATGGAACGCAAAAGTCAGGTGAAAAAATGAGTAAGTGCCTGTTTAAAGAAGATCTCAACAGCATACGAATGAGCTTGAAAAAGTAGAGTGAAATATGCATATGTATGTGTGTACATATATTCAGACATCCTTTTGCCCGAGTATGATTAATATATAGTATACATTCATATCTGTGGTCATAAGCAATAAGCTCGTTGGTCAAAAGCCAAAACATAAATGCATTTATTTGAAGCTCTTGCGGAAAAACTAAGTAAGTTCGTGAAGAAATATTTAATACCGATTTGAAAATGGATCTTAGAAGGACTTGGGAATCTATATACTTTCTCTATAATTTAAAGAAGTGAGTTACGAAGTTAAGGGTGTAGTCGTATTGGAGAAATAGAGTCGTATATGCAAATCAATTTTGTTTTAAGTCGACTTATCTAACTATTGCCTTTGACCACATATATATGCATGTATGTATATACATATATTGAAAACTCAGCATAAACACAAATATACATATATGTACATACATATGTTTATATTAATGTATTTGTACGTTTATAGTATGCACATTAGGGTGGTCCTTAAAAAACCAAATGATTGATTTTTATCAGTCCCACCCCCCTCAATCGGTAATACTACGGTCATAGATATCACATATAAATTTTGGTCCCAATTGGAGTTCGTTAAGAGGCGTGTCGCACAGAGGCAGAAGGTCAGAAGCCTCTACGTAGACCCAAAAATATATAATTTTTTTCATTTAATACTACTATAGTCGAAGAAATCTGTTGAAAAAATTAGCTTCCTACATTTAAGGACCACCCTAATGTACATACATATACAGGGTATTCAAGACCACCACTCCACCCCCTCTCAAATTGACGAAATATTTTTTTTTTTAAAAAAAAAAACGAAAAAATATGACCTACCAAATCTGGGCCGCTCCACCATTTGGTGGGATTACCGACTTCCAGTTTCGACCGGAAGTGGGCTAAATTGACCGGAAGTCCACTTTTTAAATTAGACGTACATGGTTGTACCACTGATTCGGAGTCCGAGGATAATAATACGTAACTTTTGTTTGCAACTTTTTCAGTCCAGGTCCACTAAAAAGTCCATGACGACTTGATGTTCGATGGTCTTGTAGAGGTGGAAAAAGTTCCGAATCTGTGGTAAAAACAGTTTCGCCCATTTTAAAGTCCTGGCTGAGTTGAAGTTCGAAACTCATTTACGGGCTGAAAAAGGCTCTTCCGCAAAAAAGGTTACAAACAAAAGTTACGCATTTTTGTCTTCAGAATCCGAATCAGTAGTAAAAACATGTGTGCCTAATTTGAAAAAATGTACTTCCGGTCAGTTTAATCCACTTCAGGTCGAAACTGGAAGTCGGTAATGTCACCAACAGGTTGAGTACCCCAGATTTAGTTGGGATTTTCTTGGTGTTTTTGAAAAAAAAAAACATTTCCTTCCATTTTAGAGGGGGCGGACGGGAACCGAACTAAACCTCCTACTGTCCAGGTACCGAACCCCCCGGAACCACCATCAAGTATTTCGTCGGGAGGCGGTTAAGCACTGGGCTCGCACGTTCGTTCCAGTCGCTTGTACTCAGTTCTGGGCTACACTTAATAGGCTTTGCCACGTCTTGTAAATACATATGTATGCACATAAGTACATATGTATCTACATAATAATTTTTGAAATTCATGTGCCCAATAAAACTTCTTCTGTTACAATTCGCCAATCTATTTATTTTCATGGCCATTTTCGCAAAATATTCGTCTTGTGCGGTAACAGCTTGTAGCCGAATTCGCTTTGTTTTTGCTTCTTTTATCGCGTCATAAGTTTCCAATAGCAGTGTTGTTATTTTGCTTTTATTATTGAGGCATCAATTCACTCAATTAGTTGCCGCAATTTCACTTCTTAAGTGTGCTTCTTCAAATTGAAAAAATGCTTGTACGTGCAAATGTTTTGTTCTTAACCCAGTAAGTAAAATAATGTATACTTCAGAAAAGGAAAGAATAATCGATAATTTTAGCTTTTTTTAATTAATTGATTGAAAAAGTATGTATAGTGAATAACCGAATAATTTCGCAGTGATTTTATGTACGATATTCAAAATGTTTCTCACGGTAAATTTTTGTTCGTTATTTTTTTATGAGCTAATTTTTCCTCTGTAATTTTTTGCTTTAGTGCTAATAAAAACACACATATCCAGCAACAACAGTGAAAGCAGCACAATCAGACTTATGTATATATACTATATATTACACCGTATGACAAAAAAAAAAAATTTCAAAACACATGAAGCAATCAATATACTCACGAAACTATGGACCAAATATAGATAGTTTTTTTCTCTGACGTCAGGATTTTTTTGAAGGTCTTTGTAGTTTGAAAGATAAGGCATATTTCAATTCCAAAAATTATTTAAAAAATTTATTCCAATGTAGAAAAACAGTATCTATGAGTACCAAACGAAAGAGAAAATTCTGTAGAGTTAAAAACTATTAAAATTTTTTGGTTCACAAGTTCAAATGGGTATTGAAAATGTCCTTTTAATTAGTTTTATTTTTTTTAAGCGAATAAAGTTAGAAGGACGAAATTCGAGGATGTGGTCGAGTGCATATTAGTCCTTAACTTATAATTTTTTCGAAAATAATTATTGTGAAATTTCAAGGATATTCAATGATAAAATGTTAAAAGGACATTTTCAATACCTAATCGTACGTATGCATCAAAAAATTTAATCGGCCTTAATTCTACAGAATTTTCTCTTCTAAATTGCACTAAAGTTTTTTAACGTCAGAGAGAAAAAATAAAAACGTAGTTTTACTATTTTTAGCCCATGGTTTTGCAAATACATATATAAAAATTTTTGTGTATAAAATTTTCTGTCGCAAGGTGTTATCATTACCAACAGAAATATTTTTCGCTTATTAAATATATACGTATAATTTTTAGAAACTTATTTTTTTAATCTCATTCTTAGATTTT